TCTCTACATTCTTGTTATCCACTCAGAGGCCAATTCCTTTCTAAATTCTGGCCTCAGCAACATGCTGTGTTAATTAACTCCTATGTATGCATTGTTTAGAGAAGCCTTTGCTATTCTCAGTTTTGAATCCCCCACTTTCCAGTTCCATTGGCTTTGCCCCTGTTTTCTTGTTACGAGACAGGGAGAAGTGAAGCTCCCAATCTCCCTTCTCTAAACTATTCATCGTGCTATAGGCTTCTATTATTTGCCTTCTCGTTTGTCTCCTCAGCATAGAGACAGCCCCAGTGTTTTTATTCTCCCTTCATTTAAGCGATTTTCTAAAACCTTTTTCATTGTGACTGCACTTCTCCAAACATGTCAGTGTGCAATACCCTTTTTAACTGTGTCTCCACTGCAACAGAGAAATGTGACTGCAGTATGTATGAGCTTACCCAAGCTAGCTTGAATCTGGCTAGCAGAGGTAACAATACAATGCACAATCCATGCAAGGAAACCTACCTGTTTACTTGAGTATCTAGACCATGCTGAAGCACATGCCACTGGCAGCTTCACTGCTCTTGGTATTCAGACTGGATAAAGCAAAGCCAGCTAGGATGCACCTGTATGTTCCACACTGATTACAGTGTAGACAATAAAGGTAACGGTAGTGAACACATTTAAATCCAGATATCTCTCTTAAGGTCATCTTTCAAGCCTCAATCCCTGGGGTTACAGAAAGGCAGGCAACAAAAGCTAAAGAGACCAGAATCACTACCTTTTGTCTCAACTGCTAACACAGGAACTCCATAGAAGTTTGGATGTTCAAAACCAACTAGACAATTTAGCCATTAAGGGCACTGGGAGCTGTTTGGTTAAAGCAGGAGCAATACTACTGCTGTCGCTTCTAAGAGTTCTAGTCAGTGGGCCAGAAAACCATTGTGCTAGGTCAGGGGTGGGCAAAATGCGGCCCGGGGGCCGGCTGCAGCCTGCCAAGCCATTCTCTCTGGCCCATGGGACCCCTAAAACATTTAGAAAATTAATATTTATCTTCCCCTGGCTGCATGTCACGTGGCCCTCAGTGGCTTGCCAAAACTCAGTAAGCGGCCCTCT